GATAGATAGATAGATAGATAGATAGATAGATAGATAGATAGATAGATAGATAGATTGATAGATAGATAGATAGAGTTTGAGACCGCCAGGTCCCTTTCCCGTCTTTCACTGAAAAAGGAGATCTAAGAATAGATAGAAGTTTTTTCTACTTGTAGTCCATATCATAATTTACATACTCATAAAAAACAAATAAATTACCAACCAATAAAGAAAGAAACAAAAACATTCTCTCGTGCCTTTCACTATGACGAGATATGGGGAGGAGGAGCAAGATTTGATTCCTATATATGGAAGTGCAGGAGGAAGAGGAGGACGATGATGATGATGATGATGATGATGATGATGATGATGATGATGATGATGATGATGATGATGATGATGATGATGATGATTAGGAGGAGAAGGAGGAGGAGGAAGTAGAGGAGGAGGAGATAGTGGACGGGGGAGGAGGAGGAGAAAGAGGAGGAGGAGGAAGAGGAGGAGAAGGAGGAGGAAGAAAAGGAGGAGGAGGAAGAGGAGGAGAAGAAGGAGGAGGAGGAAGAGGAGGAGGAAGAGGTGAATGAGTAGGGGGAGGAATAGAAGGAAGATGACGCTGGCAACAAAAGAACGGCTAAGTCCTTTATGGAATCTGTCAGGACATCTCTCTAAGTGCACGTTTTCTCGACAAGCACTTCTGTAGAGGGGGACCATATTGCCTGTGTCTGTGTGTGCGTGTGTTTGTGTGAGGTGTAGGGCTGGGTAGCTATGGTAACTTGTCAAACATTCCCTGGGTAACAGCAGACGATGAGGTCTGTCTTAGCCTGTCAGTTCCAGGTATCCCAGTCTTCTGGCGGGAGTCTACGCTTGAGATTTTCTCCGCACTATGTTTCTTTCACGGTTTTTTGTTCGTTGTTTTCTTGCTGGGTTTTTTTTTTTCACAGGGAAAAAGGGTTCCGTGAGAAAGTGTTTTTTGTATGTTTGTTTGGTTGGTTCCTATATGTGATAATGGGTAAGAGCTCTTTGCTTTGCACCCTTTTGCTGGCTTATCGTTTTCGTCTTTGTTGTTGTTATCGTTTCTTCTTTGGTTGTTTGTTTTTTTAGTTTTGTATCAGCTCCTTTCTAAATGTTATGCCATAAAGTAATGAAGCTGCAAGAGGCTGGATCACTTTGAAAAAAGGCCCCCCCAACCCCCACCCCCCATACAAATAAAAACAACAACAACAAAACAAAACAAAACAAAACACCCACCTTTTTTCCAAAAGGGAACATTATTATTCTAATGCAAATTGTTTTGTGTTGAGGTTTCAGTATCACTGTTTTTAGATTTTCAGAATTGTTTATCTGATTGCTGTACCAACTGAGCTAACAGCTCGTCCTTATTGCTTTACAATAATATTATTGCAAACGACAAAATTTCCGTGAGACTTTGAACCGTGTTCTGAGTAGTACTTTTACAGCAGGCTATCACACCAACATCACTACTGTCCTTGACATTGTGTTGTGACACACATTCTATCTATTAATGTAAAATGTAATTTGTTATTGTTTAATGTTCTGAACTTCCATCCACATATTTTCTTGTGTTTTGCGATTAATATTATAGCTCGAATTGTGAGCTAACGTAAAATTAATCAACTTGTGTCTCGTGCGGTCACATTATGATCTTATTAATTTAGTTGCCAGCTCCATAAAACTTATACCAAATTAAATTGAAATAAAGCTAATAAGAAAAACGATAGGTCCTGTGAATCTCCATCCTTTTTGGTGTTTATATTTTGTTTTGTTTTCTTCCTTCAGATGACAGGCACGGTTCTTTGGATGTAATTCTTTGCTTGAACACGACGCATTACTCACTGTCCTTGACAATTAATTGCGCCATGGAGCTGCAACTACTCTACTAGAACGGGTAAGTTGTTTACCACGAATTATCAGCCAGGTTGTAAAAGGCATAGATAGACCCAAACGTTTGTGTGTGTGAGTGAGTGAATGTGTGTGTATGTGTGTGAGTGGGTGAATGTGTGTATGTGTTTGTGTGTGTGTGTGTGTGTGGAGGGGGGGGGGTGGTTAGTTAGTTATAGTAGAGGTTTTACGGCGCTCGCAACTGCATAAGGTCATATGAGCGCCAGAAGATTTGAGGAGTTACAAGAGATAACAAACATACAAAAGAAGAAAGGGAGAAAAGGACGATAGACGTTTGATAGGAACGATGAAGCAAACCACACCAGAGCACCCGCCAATCTCCCACTTGTCTGGGTGTGAATGTTTGTGTAAGTACAAGTGTGTGTACGTGTTTATGTTTATGTGTTTGTGTGTGTGTGTGTGTGAGAGAGAGAAAGAGAGAGAGAGAGAAAAAGAGCGAGAGAGAGAAAGAGAGAGAGAGAGAGAGAGAGAGAGAGAGAGAGAGAGAGAGAGAGAGAGCAGGGTGAGGAAGAGAGAAAGAAAAAGAAAGGTCGGTCGCAGACATTGCTACACCTCATTGGATAGTTGTGAATGGCTTCAAAAAGACACGAGGAAAACATGTGACAAACCATGTTCATCATCCTCTCACTCATTGACATAAAGAAACACTCAAACAAAAGTATCGGGAGCAAACATAAGGCCCTTGTGTGGAAACAGTTAAGGCCCGAGTCCACTGCAACCGACTCCAACCGACCAGATTCCGTCCGTCTCTCGGCAAGTCGGTAGTTGAAATAGTGCACCGTTTATTTACTTAGAAATCAGTGAAAAGTCCGTTTGGCTGTGCCAACAGACACGACGCAACACGCCCCGGCAAAAGACGTGTCGGTTGGAAAGACGCATGCTCAATTTTAGCTGGACCGGGTCGTGAGCGATGGGCCCCGCCCGAGCTAAAAGAAAATTCTAATTTTGAGTTCAGATTAAAATTCGAATCTCATATTCCTAATCAGCGCCTCAAAATTAGCGAAGTCTGCGCGCAAACCACTTGGTTTAAATGCATACAATTTTACCAATTTTCCTTAAAAAACCCATTCATTTCGTATTTCCACCTTGGGTTCATTGGCCTCGACTATTTGTAAACCTGTACTGAGGACAAAGCCTTGGGACACAGTGTGTGAAATAATACGGCCAGTAGGCCAACAGTCAAGACGTGTCTTGTCCGAACTGGTGGACACACAAGACGGAAACGACCAAACCGATTTTCTTCCTCCCGACCAAAGATCGGGCCGTGTCCGTCTCAGTGGACCCGTAGGCTAACGGCAGATGTCAGTCTATAAAGATCTGCCTTTCCCCGTGTCTCTCGCAGCATTTATGTTAAACAAACAAACAAACAAGCACACAGACAAAAAGCATGCATAGACATGATGGGATTGTTTTGCTTCTTTTTTTTACTTTCCCATCAAAATAATTTAGATTATTCATTAGTCGAGCTTCGACTCTGCTTGTCACGGCCCAACAAGTTTTGAGCACCTAAATCAACGTCCCAGTTTAAACCCCGAGGTACTCAAAAAAGAAATCTCACTATTGGGAATCGAACTCGAGTGCTTTATGTGCCCCACCCTTTCTCTCTCTCTCTCTCTCTCTCTCTCTCTCTCTCTCTCTCTCTCTCTCTCTCTCTA